ATGTTTGAATAGTTCTGTGAGCAGGGCTCTCCCTTGGCACATACCATCATTCACATGTGCTGGGAGTGGGGGGGAGATACCAACATGAAATCTCAGCCCACGGGGGGATGGGGAGCAGCTGAATGTATTCACTTGAGAAGACTTTGTCTGCCATGACCACTGTGCCTCTGGCAGAGGCTGCATCCGCGGGGTTTTCTCTAGGGATGCAAGTGACTAGTCGAGTATGCAATAAGCAAAAGCTTATTGGACAGTCGACACACTAGTCAACTCGTCGCCCTCCCCCTTGCCCCCGTTACTGCCTCTATCACAAAAGGGAGGAGGAGATGGTGGGGGAGCTGGCTTAAAAGTCAGTTCCCTCCAGCCCCATGAGACGGGGCAGGGGCCCAGCAGAGTCCCTGCTGGGGCTCTTGTGCATTTCAGAGGGGAAGTACCGTATGGAGCCTGGGGTCAGCGGGGGCTCCATGCAGGTGCCAGCTTTGAAATGTATAGGAGTCCTCAGCAAAGGCTCTTGTGCATTTCAAAGCGGAAGTGCCTGCTGGCCCCGGGCTCCATGCCACATTCCAACTTTGAAATGCACAGGCAAAGGCAGAACCCGGAAGTTCTTAGGGTCTGTCCTGCCCAGCAGAGTCCCTGCTGGGGCTCTTGTGCATTTCAGAGGGGAAGTACCGTATGGAGCCTGGGGTCAGCGGGGGCTCCATGCAGGTGCCAGCTTTGAAATGTATAGGAGTCCTCAGCAAAGGCTCTTGTGCATTTCAAAGCGGAAGTGCCTGCTGGCCCCGGGCTCCATGCCACATTCCAACTTTGAAATGCACAGGCAAAGGCAGAACCCGGAAGTTCTTAGGGTCTGTCCTCACTAGCCCCCCAGTTCGAACTAGGGTGGCTAATGGAGGCATTCAAACTTGCAAATGAAGCTCAGGATTTAAATATCCCGGGCTTCATTTGCATGTTCCCGGGTGGGCGCCATTTTTAAATGCTCATAATTCGAACTCCCTGCCCACAGCTACACGTGGCATGGACTAGGTAGTTCGAATTAAAGCTCCTAATTCGAACTACTGTTACTCCTCCTGCAAGGTGTAGACATACCCTTAGGCTGCGTCTACACTGGCATGATTTTGCACAAATACTTTTAACGGAAAAGTTTTTCCATTAAAAGTATTTGCGCAAGAGAGCATCTATACTGGCATATGCCTTTGCACAAAAGATTTGCTTTTGCGCAAAAGCATCCATGCTAGTGTAGATGCTCTCTTGTGCAAGAAAGCGCCGATGGCCATTTTAGCCACCGGGCTTTCTTGCACAAGAAATTGATGTTACCTGTCTACACTGGCCTCTTGCGCGAGAACACTTGCACAAGAGGACTTATCCCTGAGTAGGAATGTCAAAGTATTTGCACAAGAACCACTGATTTCATACAGTAAAACATCAGTGTTCTTGCGCAAATACTCGCGGCCAGTGTAGACAGTTGGCCGCTTTTGCGCAAAATCTTGCCACTGTAGACACAGCTTTACAGTGCAGACATACCCTTACAGACTAATCGAATAGTCGATGGAAATCCCATCGGCTATTTGATTAGTTAATTCACCGCAATTTAACATCCCTTGTTTCCTCCCAGTCAGGGCGGGTCTGTAAGGACAGAGGCTGACATGTGCAATGAGTCACTGTGCACCTCAGTCTGCTTCCTCCTAGGCTGGTCCTCCTTTACCAGGCATTGGCCAGGCCAGGCGGGCAGATGTCATGCCTGGCGTGTGAACTTAGTCACCTACATGGTTACTACGGTTGCTGGAGACGTGCGCCTTGGCTACGCTCCCTGCGTCAGATGGGGCAGAAGGAGCAGGTCCCAGGGCAGGGGGTGGGGGAAGCAGCAGTGACACCTTTTCCCCCCCACGTTCCCTGCTGCAGAGAAATACAAAGGGTCAATAGCTCCACACAGGCTGGCTCTGTCTGATTTACTTGGCCATGAGGGGGAACAATGGATTTCAGAGGAGCCACTCACAGGCAGGCTAAGGCCCAGCTACCCTGGAGATGGTGTCTGGGGACAGGCAGGGGGTGCTTTGGCTGCACAGGGCTCCTACAAGCCTGGTTCTGGCTTAAACGGGCATGGTGCCATTAGGAGCGACTGGAGGGTAAGGGAGAATTCCACGCAGGTTGGTCTGTGATGGGCTCAGATGGGTGCAGTGAGAACTGAGGCCTTTCACTGGCAGAAGCACAAGCCCCCAGCCCTTAGGCTACCAGCGCGTCTCTTCTAGGGCTTCAGGAGCAGTATGCTCTGGCCCCACTGGGCCCAGCCCCCAAGGGGCACCAGGAACTCTGCACCTGCCACCAGCCACTGCAGCCGTGGTCTGTCCTCTGCGCTGAGTCCATGGGCCAAGTTGTTTGTCCCAGCGTATATGTGCTGGGATCTCGCTCCACGGTGGCTGAGGGCTCCAGCAACTGCTAGGCTTCCTGGGGCAGAGAGCTCCAGGGGTCATGTCTGCCCTGGCTCCCTGCTGTGGGAGCAGCAAGGGGTGGAGCTTTTCAATCCACTTCAGTTTACAAAAAAAGATTTGAGGCAATGGCAGCAAGAGGCAGGGGTTCCTGCGGGCACCGCCCCTGCCTTCTGCTGTGATCTGAGCCCCAGCCAGAGCCTGTCCCCATGGCTCCGCAAGGCTGAGAATCACTCATGTCAGTGTCTTCGGATTTGCGAGGTCTTCAATCGCCGCCTTCAGCTGGAAGAGAAGCGGCGGTTGGGCGAGACTGTGCCCCCGCCGGGCAGGGCAAGCTCCTTGCTCCTCCTGCCCGGGGCACTCAAGAGACATTAGGTCACCTCCTCAATGCCCATGCCTTTCCCATCCCAGATGGGTCCTTGGGTCCCTGGCCATCCCCCCCAGGTAGCTCTCTAGTGTGCCACAGACCCCAGCTCCTGCTGGTCCCAGCCCTTTCGCCCTTCCCCGCTCCTGCTGGTCCCAGCCCTTTCGCCCTTCCCCGCTCCTGCTGGTCCCAGCCCTTTCGCCCTTCCCCGCTCCTGCTGGTCCCAGCCCTTTCGCCCTTCCCCGCTCCTGCTGGTCCCAGCCCTTTCGCCCTTCCCCGCTCCTGCTGGTCCCAGCCCTTTCGCCCTTCCCCGCTCCTGCTGGTCCCAGCCCTTTCGCCCTTCCCCGCTCCTGCTGGTCCCAGCCCTTTCGCCCTTCCCCGCTCCTGCTGGTCCCAGCCCTTTCGCCCTTCCCCGCTCCTGCTGGTCCCAGCCCTTTCGCCCTTCCCCGCTCCTGCTGGTCCCAGCCCTTTCGCCCTTCCCCGCTCCTGCTGGTCCCAGCCCTTTCGCCCTTCCCCGCTCCTGCTGGTCCCAGCCCTTTCGCCCTTCCCCGCTCCTGCTGGTCCCAGCCCTTTCGCCCTTCCCCGCTCCTGCTGGTCCCAGCCCTTTCGCCCTTCCCCGCTCCTGCTGGTCCCAGCCCTTTCGCCCTTCCCCGCTCCTGCTGGTCCCAGCCCTTTCGCCCTTCCCCGCTCCTGCTGGTCCCAGCCCTTTCGCCCTTCCCCGCTCCTGCTGGTCCCAGCCCTTTCGCCCTTCCCCGCTCCTGCTGGTCCCAGCCCTTTCGCCCTTCCCCGCTCCTGCTGGTCCCAGCCCTTTCGCCCTTCCCCGCTCCTGCTGGTCCCAGCCCTTTCGCCCTTCCCCGCTCCTGCTGGTCCCAGCCCTTTCGCCCTTCCCCGCTCCTGCTGGTCCCAGCCCTTTCGCCCTTCCCCGCTCCTGCTGGTCCCAGCCCTTTCGCCCTTCCCCGCTCCTGCTGGTCCCAGCCCTTTCGCCCTTCCCCGCTCCTGCTGGTCCCAGCCCTTTCGCCCTTCCCCGCTCCTGCTGGTCCCAGCCCTTTCGCCCTTCCCCGCTCCTGCTGGTCCCAGCCCTTTCGCCCTTCCCCGCTCCTGCTGGTCCCAGCCCTTTCGCCCTTCCCCGCTCCTGCTGGTCCCAGCCCTTTCGCCCTTCCCCGCTCCTGCTGGTCCCAGCCCTTTCGCCCTTCCCCGCTCCTGCTGGTCCCAGCCCTTTCGCCCTTCCCCGCTCCTGCTGGTCCCAGCCCTTTCGCCCTTCCCCGCTCCTGCTGGTCCCAGCCCTTTCGCCCTTCCCCGCTCCTGCTGGTCCCAGCCCTTTCGCCCTTCCCCGCTCCTGCTGGTCCCAGCCCTTTCGCCCTTCCCCGCTCCTGCTGGTCCCAGCCCTTTCGCCCTTCCCCGCTCCTGCTGGTCCCAGCCCTTTCGCCCTTCCCCGCTCCTGCTGGTCCCAGCCCTTTCGCCCTTCCCCGCTCCTGCTGGTCCCAGCCCTTTCGCCCTTCCCCGCTCCTGCTGGTCCCAGCCCTTTCGCCCTTCCCCGCTCCTGCTGGTCCCAGTCCCCCTCCCCTGCTTCTGCTGGCCCAGCCCTTTCGCCCTACCCCGCTCCTGCTGGTCTCAGTCCCCCTCCCCTGCCGGCCCCAGCCCTTTCGCCCTACCCCGCTCCTGCTGGTCTCAGTCCCCCTCCCCTGCCGGCCCCAGCCCTTTCGCCCTACCCCGCTCCTGCTGGTCTCAGTCCCCCTCCCCTGCCGGCCCCAGCCCTTTCGCCCTACCCCGCTCCTGCTGGTCTCAGTCCCCCTCCCCTGCCGGCCCCAGCCCTTTCGCCCTACCCCGCTCCTGCTGGTCTCAGTCCCCCTCCCCTGCCTTAGCAGCTCAAATAGGTTATGAGCCTGGAAGAGGAGAGGAAGCCAGTGGGGCCAGGGTGATGTGGCATCAGCAGAGCCCTCCCTGTGCCCAGCGGTGCCCTCAGTGTGGGGACAGCAGGGCCCACTCAAGCCTGGAACTGCTGGGGGGAGCTGGGCCCAAGGCTTCTCCATTGCACCCGCCCTGCACCCTCCCAGGTAAGTTCAGGGCCTGCAGCCTCCCCTGCTGAGAGATGGGTTCAGGGAGCCCCATGCCCTGCACTGCAGTGACCACCAGATGCTCGTGCTCCGCAGGGGAAACCCATCCCAAAGCAGCTGGAGTTCCTTACAGGGACTGTCCTATCACAACCCTCCCGGGGGCCCAGAGCAGGAGGTGGGGGGTGCAGTGGGGGCGCTCAAGAAGTTCAGGGCCTGCAGCCTCCCCTGCTGAGAGATGGGTTCAGGGAGCCCCATGCCCTGCACTGCAGTGACCACCAGATGCTCGTGCTCCGCAGGGGAAACCCATCCCAAAGCAGCTGGAGTTCCTTACAGGGACTGTCCTATCACAACCCTCCCGGGGGCCCAGAGCAGGAGGTGGGGGGTGCAGTGGGGGCGCTCAAGGCAGCACATTGGAGACTGTTGAAGTGTGAGGGAGTGCAGGAGGGGGATGGGGATGTGGGGGGGCAGGGAGTTGGTGAGATGGGGGTCACAGTGCAGGAGTTGGGTTGTGGGGGGCTCAGGGCAGGGGGTGTAGGGAGGCAGGGGGCTGTAG